GAGCCCAGCAGGTCGAGGCTGCGGTGGCCGGGAGCGGCCACAGCACTCCAGTCTGGGCGATGGAGTGAGACTCCAACTCAAAAAAATAAAATAAAAATAAAAATAAAAATCAGGAAAAAATTTTTTTCCCCTCAGGACCCCAAGACAAAGGATGGTTTCTTTAGGTGATACTGCATTCTCCTAAATGGAGAAAGACTCCTATAATTTGCTTTTGCTGAGGAATTTTGTCTTTTTATCTCAAGAAGACTGACTTTAACTGGGAAATAGGTCATACCTTGAAATCTCTTGATTACTAAAAAGGCTCTCAGGTTGATTCACTAGCATTGCTAAATGTTAAGGAAATTCATTCAAATACAAGGTGACAGCCAAAGTGATTTATTCACACTCTGCTTAAAAGTTGTCTAAAGCCAAGTTTAAATTTACCAAAGGTGCTAGAGAGTACCCAGAAAGAATATATCTGCTTCATTTCACCACTATTTGAAGATATGACTTTACAGTTTCTAATAGTGTGGAATCCAGAAATATATAACCTTCACATCTAAATATCCTGATTCAATGTGAAATGTTGTGAATTACTACCTGAATCTGACTGCTTTTAATTTAGAACAATAAGTGTGCAATTCTGCTTTTAGAGCCTTTCATTACGGAGCGTGCCAGGAAAAGTTATATTTTAAGCATTTCCATTATCACTTTAAAGTGAACATTTATAGATTCCAAGTGACAAGAAAATCAGGTTCTGCCTTCCAAATGGATGGTGTGGTCAGTGTTTTGGTGAATTTTCTGTATGTAGTAAAATATTAATAATTTCTGAGTATACTTACTGTCTGAGTAGTACATAAATAATACATCACTGCTATATTTTAATTTATGAAGATGAATTTGATTCACTGGACTACATGGTTACATAAGATTTTCTTTTTTCCCTAGCATCAAAGTTAAGCCAGAAGATTTATCACATTTTCATCATCAGCTACAAGATTAGAAAGGAGGCTGGGATGAATGTGACAAGGACTGCAGCAGCTCTCTTAGGACTGCTGGTATTACCAACATAGAGGCAGGTGGAATGAAAAGGAATCTGTATAGATCGGCTTTTGAAAAGTTCTCATTCTTCCAGTAGCTATCACTGGAAAAGTACACGTGGATATTTATGTATTTATAAATCATGCACTGAGAGGAGTTTGTCAACATTGTAAAGCCTTCTTTTCTATTTTCAGTTTTTAAATGTCAAAACTTTGATTTAAAATGCCTTTTTTGTTGTTGATGTAATAATGGCAGGTAATGAATTTTATGGTTTGGATTTTTCAACAATGTACTTGAAGTGTGATTCTGTTTTATGGCTTTTCCCCCCCAGTTAGGCAATCCAGATCCTTTATATTCTTATTTCCACCTGAAATTTATACCACACCTATACCTGTCTGACACACACACTCATCTTTTTTTAAGAAATGAGAATCAAATCACAAACCTGGGATACGCACCAGCTCATGGGAAGAGGCAGCCTACAGAAAAGCTTCTAGCCTTATTTTTAAACCCATTGATCTGGATTCCACAGCTTTGTCCAGCCAGACAGCTGATTTGCAGATTCTCAGATCTCCCAGGCTGCTTTTATTCTAGAGGGAGGCTTGGGTCTTCTAGACTTGGGTAACTACCTTGCACATAACCTAAGAAATACTTGGAGTACAATCCTGCATTACTCTGACATTTTGGCATTCATGTTCCCCCTTAACTAATCTATCTATTTTGTACCCCCTGTTTTCTTATTTAGTCCCCATAATTAAGTACATAGCTTTAAGCAAATTCTGGGAGAGGGGTTTCGTTTTGGGGGCAGGAGTGTAACAGTCTGTTACAGCAGGATTCACTCATCAGTGATAAGCACTGCTTGGCACTGGTGCTAGTGGCAATTAAGACAGCGGGCACTGTCTTAGCTTAATTTGGTGAAGACAGGAAACTGAACCGGAGTACTGAAAAGGAGAGCTAGCTGGGGGAACATGATTGGTGTGTGGGGGCAGAGAAGTTGGACGGGACTCTTGCCCATGGCTCCAGATGAAGACCAGGCACTCCTTGGATGGTGTGATATCTCTGTGTGGCTTATAGCTCCAGTGTCCCTACTGTGTACTAGCATGGAATGAGGAAAAAAAAAAAATCACGTGGCTTATGTCTACAATCCCAGCACTTTGGGAGACAGAGGCAGGAGAGCACTTGAGTCCAGGAACTTGAGACTAGCCTGGGCAACATAGTGCAAGACCTTGTCTCTACAAAAAATAAGATAATTAGCCAGGCGTGGTGGTGCACACCGGTTGTCCCAGCTTCTTGGGAGGCTGAGGTAGGATTGCTTGAGCCCAAGGGGTCAAGGCTGTGGTGAGCCATAATAGTGCCAGTGCACTCTAGCCTGGACAAGAGAGTGAGATCTTGACTCAATACTTGCCACAGAGAGCGAGGGCAAAGATTAAGACAGTAAATATTAAGAGGGCTGAGCACAGAGCTCAGTGAGGCTTAGCCTTTTCTTTTCCTCAAATTTAGCCTAGCTTTTTCCCTTTCTAATTACTTGTACAAATTTATGAGGTTTAAAAAATCAAATTACAACATAAGAGAAAGTGTGATTATTCATTTTTTTCCTACCTCAGGTTTATTTGTACAAATAGCACGGGAGGACACCAGCCCCATGCAGACAGCAGCATGGGGGTCAAACCAGTCCTTCTGTCCTCATGTTAGCAGACAGGGGCCTCTACTCTGGAGCCTTTGTGGGGGTCTGGGTACCTTTGGGAGCCTGAACAGGAACTGGAACTGAAACTGGAGCTGCAGGTGAAGCTGCAGCCAGGACCTTAGTTTGATCCTTGACCTTTGGCCGGCAGAGGCTGTGGCTCTTGGCAATAGGGGCATGAATATGCTTCTCAAGCTTGGAGTGGGCAATGTATGTAAGTTGAGTAAGCTTGCAGCTAGGACCCTTTGGAATCTTGGGCTTAATGAGAGGGCCTTGATAGCCTCAGCACGTGTACTCATGGCCTTGGCATTGTTGGCTTGCATCTTCAGGCCCTTCTTGTTGTGCTTCTTGGCAAAGTGCATGTTCCTCAGGAACTTGGGGTCCACCCCCTTAAGAGATGCATATCTTTGTGATCGGGGGTTTCTTTTTTTTTTTTTTGAGTTGG